TAAGCACCGGTTTGAGCACCGTTTGAGCACCGGCACCGTTTCAAAAGTACCGATTTGGCACCGGTATCGGATAAAACCTAAACGATACCCATCCCTACTCTTCAGTCACACATGCCCATCACTACATCCATGATCCTTCTCTGTGGTCTATCCTAATATACCCAGCCTTTTTCTCTAACTTTGTCTCCAAACTATTCAGCCTAAGCTGTGCCTCCTTCTCTTGGTCACTAACTTTAACTTTGTCACCTCCACTTCTGCCTCCTGTCTTTTTTTCCCCCTCCCGTTTCATTCTTGCTGCTATCCTCCTGTCACCAATTCCATTTGATTCTGTTTTATTTATATAGCACCAATTCAAAAAAGCATTGGAATATTATATTGGAAGATAAAGTCCCTGGAATAAATCCCCAACAATCATACAACGCCCTCTGGGCAAACACTTGGCAACAGTAGAAAGGAAAAACTCCCTTTAACAGGTAGAAACGCTCAGGGAGAGGTGGCCATCTCCTGTGACCAGTTGGGGTAAGAAGAGGAAGAAGGGACAAAAAACCCAATGTGGAAGAGAGCCAGAGATTAATAATAACTTATGATTGAATGCAAAGTGGTGCATAAACACAAAAAGTGAAAATGAGGTGATTGAAGAACAAACAATGTATCATGGGAAGCTCCCTGCAGTCTAGGCCTTTTGCAGCATAACTAAGGGAAATTTCAGGGTTGCCTGATACAGCCCTAATTATAACCTTTTAAAAAAATCAGTTTTAAGCTTAATATTCAAAGTAGAGAGAGTGTCTGTCTCCTGAATCCAAACAGGGAGCTGATTCTATAGTGGAGGGGCCTGAAAGATGAAGGCTCTTCTTCCCATTCCACTTTTAGAAACTCTAGTAGAACCACAAATTCTCTATTTATGCGGTATGGTACTGTGAGATCTTTAAGACAAGTTAGGACCTGATTATTCAAGACCTATTACCTGTGGAAAAATCACCTGACATTCATCTTTATCCTATGTTAACTCTTTCTCACCTCTCTGTCCATTGCTTTGCATGGTCGACCCCAAGTATTTCAACTCACCCACCTCCTCATTGCATCTTGACCTTTCCACCTGCCTCTCTCATTCACAGGCATGGCTCACTCCTATTAACGTTCATTCCTCTTTGGTACATACCTTCATATCTTAGTGCTCTCGTAGACCTCTCATTTGATTGAATTCTTTAAAATACATTTTGGCATAGGAGCCATCTAAATGCTCACATTTAAGTTACTTAAGCAGACCCTGCCTTGGTTGATACTATTTTAAACAATTTTGCTGTTAACGTAATTACCTAAAACTCAATGATAAACTCGTGGGACCGAGTTTTTACTCGTTGCTATCCATACAAAACATACTAAAAACACGATTAGATTAGATTTTTTTTTTAACCAGATTTGGACACAAAATGGGAATCATGCAATTTGTATAAAAAAAAAATTAAAACAAAACCTACTGAAAAAACTGTCAAAAGAGCTAGGAGTATTATATGTATTAGTATTGCTATTTTTAATGGATTTCCTCACAGCGTTTCGTGACGTTGCTTTGAGACCCGGATATGGGATCAGAGTGAGAGCTCTTCCCTGTAGAGACCTGTCTGTGAGCTGAGCTCCAGCCTCCGGTGAACGTCACACGTTGGGGAAGTCCGTCACCGCGGCTGTTGGACCTGCTGCAGCTTTCGAGGTTCCGATCGGTTCCATTTTTTTTTATTTAGGTTCAAACTGAGACTGTTAACGTCGGGCTCTAAACCAATTGTCGATCAACGAAAACGCTTTGGATTTTAACTGTCTTTATACTAATCCCGGAAACCCGTCAGTAAAGCGAAAGTTGAGAGAGTCGAGATGAGCGTGGAGGCGTACGGGCCGAGCTCCCAGACCCTCACCTTCCTGGACACCGAGGAAGCGGAGTTGCTCGGAGCGGACACCCAGGGCTCGGAGTATGACTTCACCGACTTCACCCTTCCCAGTCAGACGCAAACTCAAGGGCAGACACAGAGCCAGCTGGACAGCCAGGTCTGAGGTTTTCAATTTCACAGGAAGGCACGAGAAAGCGCGCTTTACTGACGCTAGCTGTAGTTAGCTAGCTGACCCAGCGCTACCTGTTAGCCGGCTAAATTGGATAGCATTACTTAGCTCAGTGTTAGCTGGGTTGCAGCGTTAGCAAGCCCCTTAACTAAACTTCTGAAGTAACAGTAATTGTATTTTTATCTTTA